TCACCGTAAGTACCCCTTCCACTTTCAAAACTGTCCAAGTTTGGATGATAAAGGATGTGAGCACCCCATGCATGAGCCATGCTTGCTTGACACAGACCTGCAGCCCCCTCTCCTCTTATTCCTCTGTCACCACACACGTCAACTCCACAGTTGGGAAACTGCTTCCCATTTCCTGGACACAACTTGCTATTTCACCCTTCTTCTTGATGACTTCTGTGCTTCCTTAAAGTTTTATTACCTTACTGATAGCAATATCTCTGCCATGTTAGTGTCTGTCTCCTTCTTAGACTATTAGTTCCTTGAAAATGGAGACTAGTTGGTTTATATCCATATCACCAGTGTCTTCCTTATATCCAGACATATAACATGCTCAATACAAGTTTGATGAATGAAGCATGTCAAAATTATATATGTACATAAACTAGGACAGGAAGAATATAGGCAAAAGTGAAATTCATAATCACATTAGATTTTTGAAGTCTCAGATGACTTGAGTTTGTTTAAATATTGTTTTTTAAAATATATTTTTGTTGATTTCAGAGAGGAAGGGAGAGGTAGAGAGAGATAGAAACATCAATGATGAGAGAGAATCATTGATCGACTGCCTCCTGCACGCCCCCTACTGGGGACCGAGCCCACAACCCAGGCATATGCCCTTGACCGGAATTGAAACTAGTACCTTTCAGTCTGCAGGCTGACGCTCTATCCACTGAGCCAAACCAGCCAGGAATTAAATATTGTTTTTAAAGGAAATTTTTATTTTTTAAAATAGCAAGGTTGTGTATAGTGTTATTTTGAAAGACTTAAAAAAATAGTTTAGCCTTCAGTTACTTCTTAAAGGGTGGACTTTGTTATTCTGAACACAGCAGATAGACAGGGCTTGCCACTTAGTGGGTTCCACTCAGTAAATATTGATTGAATAATCACAGATTTATCATGAGTTGGAAGAAAAATGAGAAATTATAAAGAATGGAGACCCATGAAAAACCGTGATTTGCATAATTTTTTTAGCTGAAGTGAAAAAAAAAACCCAGTTAAGGTAAGGTGGTCAGGTTGCACCACCCAGTTCTTTGGTTGCTGGCTGGGCAGACACTCAGAGGGTACTATCTATAAATTATAATATATCATTTTTAACCAAGGAAGAGTGGGGCTGCCCCTCCCAAGTTCCAGATGGCCCTCACTGCTCCTTTGCTGTTCTATCATCTCCTTGTTCATTTTAATCTTATTTGGGGCAGGGAGAATAAAAATGTTGGGGTGCTGGGAAAGAAGTCCAGCACACAGTAATTTATTCTGGGGGAATAATACACTGGTGATAATTATCAAATTAACAATTTGAAAATTGCAGGTATTTTTAAATATTAGCTAATATACAAAACTTCTAAGAGGAGAGAAAGAAAGTTTTTATCAATCATGTGCCAGGTTCGGTGAAATGTGTTTTCACATTTATTTTATGTAATACTATAAATAATTATCACAATAGTCTTGATTTTATCACCATTCAAAGCTTAGTAAGTGCCAGAGGCTAGATTTGAATTCAGACCCAGTGGTCTACTCATATGACCAAAAGAGTTCTCTGTCATTGGGGATGTGGATAAAAGGGTTGGTTCTGTCTTGGAAAAACAGCATTTGGAAAAGCTTTGAAGGTTGGAAGATATCATTCTTCATAGCATCAAAGAATCTCGACTATGATAATGAGTACCTGTTGTTCACATCACATGTTTGAGAACAGAGTATATTTCTGACAACTGGTGTAGAAACATTTGAAGTCTGGAATTTTCGCTTGCAACAAAAAATGGAAAATTAAAAATGTAGCCTAGCTTCAGTGGTGGTTGCATATTTATGATTTTTGCATTTTTCTATGTATATATGCTACTTCAATTTCCAAAATTTTATTTTTTAAAAGACTGGTAAAATAGTTCTTGTAGATAAAACAGGGTATATTTGAAGTCTGCATAAGCTAAGCAAGTCGCATGACCACATCCTGATTCTTTCTTTTTTATCTGTGAAAAATAATGATAATGGAATAAGTTGCCATTTTCTTCCAAGAGATATGTTTCTATATCTTTACTTGGTCAGTACATGGTTGAGTTTCTAATTTAGGTATATTTGCCTCCCATTTCCGTGGTAAGAAATTAAAGAAAATGTTTCTTTCATTCCTGTATTTTAAAGCAAATTTCCTGTGCTACTCAGAGCCTGCCAGTAACTCTCTCCCAATTCTACCTTTTTGCATAATCTCAGAATGATTTACAGAAAACAAATACCTTGCTGATTCCCTCAGGTTTGGCTGGGACAAATGAATCCATAAATGTTGTGGGACAATAGGAAAGGATGTTGAAATATTTGTAGACTTTTTAAATGAAAATTAGCATGGGAAAGAAGTTATTTTACTCCCTTTCACAAAAGGATTATCTTTTCATTTGGGTGTAATATTCATCTAGAACTTGACCTCTCATTTGTTTGGCTATCCTGAAAATAAGGCACAAATTGGTCAAATTAGAAAACAGAGTGAAGGCATATACATACCAACAGTGGGTCTCATAAAGAATATATCAAGTTTAATAAAAATAAATCTTAAACATTTAAAAAGATAATTTATTGAAAATATGGAATTGGGAAGAGCTCAAGTGGTAGTGTAGTCAGGGTTCCTAAATTCACCTTTGGAAATACAGTCTTATCACAGGTGTAAGCTGAATTATATCTCTACATTACTTCAGGCTGCAGTCTAATTTGATTAGCTCATTTCATGAAATTCTTTTTTTCAAGATGTTATTTTGAAAATTTTCAAATCTACAGGAGAGTTACAAAATAGTACAATGAACACCCAATACCCCAACTTAATTCCACCAGTTATTAATTTTTACCATATTTCTGTGAGTGCTCTCTCTTTATATGTGTGTGTTTGCTGAATCAATTGAAATTAACTTGCTGATATCACCCCTAAGTACTTTATCAGGTGTCTCTTTAGAACAAGAACATCTCTTATATAACCACAATACCATCCCTGTACACAAGACATTTATCATTGATAAATAACAGCATCTAATATACAGTTCATAATCAAATGTCCTCAATTGTCATACTTTCTTTAATCATTTTTTTGGGACAAAGAATCCAATCAAAGATAAACATAATCTATTTAGGAATCATGTTATCTTTTAATTTAGAATATTCTTCCTCTCCTCTTTTCTATCTTTCATGATATGGACATACTTTGAAGAGTCCAGGTCTGTTGTCTTGTAACATGTCCTACAATCTAGATTTGTTTTCTCATAATAAAGATCTTTGTAGGAAAAAAATACATGTGTGTGTGCTGTGCATTCCTGTTGTTTTCCCCATACATGTTATATTTTCCCATTTCTGAGACCTTGTTCACACAGACCATCTCTTTAATTACTGCCCTTCCCCCACCACATCTTCACAAGGCTCTGTTCAATTTTTAATCTTGTCTAGGTGATTTCCCTAATGCCTCCATCCAGAAATAATCTTTCAATATTCAGAATACTTTAGCTTTTCTTTTCTTATTAGAATTTACAATTTTTTTAGTTTGTATTATTATTTTTATTTATTCACTTTTTTTTTTTACCTTCTCTCCAATGAAAGCCTCCTAAGGGCAGACCTAATTTATCTAGATTCCCTGGACTCTACCATGATGGTTCACAAAGTAGGCAATTAATATGTATAGTTGTTGAGTGAATGACTAGATGGATGAATAAATGAATGAAAATATTATCTGTTTTCTGAGATAGTGAGTTGGTTAAAATGTTTCTTTAAAAGGTTAAAATAATTTCTTCATAAGTGTACTTTCTGCATTCAGAATAGTCTACTTAATTAAGACAATAAGATTTTAGTTTTAATAAAAATAAAATATGTATATTATATGCCTTGGTATAAGCTGTTTTGAAAAGCAACTTGCTAAGCATTGAGGGAAGCCTTTCAATCTGGACAGTTCATTCTTTCAGTTTGGAAAATAGTCATATTATTTTTTTTAGAATTTCCTCTTTTGCATTTTTCTATTCCCTCTGGAATAAAGAACTATGTCAGACATTGAAACTTCTGGATTGATCCTCTACAACTCCTATCTTTTCTTTCATATTTTCTATCTTCTACTTTCTAAACTATTTCCTTCCAACCTACTATTGATCTTTATTTAAAATTTGGAAGTCATGTTTTTAATTTTCAAAAGTTTTGTTTTTTGAGTGGCCTTTTTAATAGCATCCATTTACTGTTTTATGGATGCAATATCTTTTCAAATCTTTGGAAGTATTGATTAACACTTATTTTCTTCTGTTCCCTGCACTAACTCTGTTTAAACTTTCTTTAAGTGTTCTTATTTCTATCTTGGTCTTTCCCTCATTCACATTAAAGGTATTTTAAATATTAAATATAGACATCTCTAAGTGCTGAAAAGCTGATTGGAAACTGTGTATATGAGCAATGTTTGCCAACTGCCAGGATGGCTATAGGTTACTTGAATGTTGAGTTAGGCATTAAGATGTGAAAACTCCCAAATGCCAAAACATGGAGGTCTCTTTTTCTGACATCATTCAATTTCTTTAGAAAAGAACCGTTCATTTTTTTTTTTGTGCCTAGGGAGTAACTTGTCATTGCTGAAATGTCACTCAGCAAAGGTGTGTGTGTGTGTGTGTGTGTGTGTGTGTGGTGTGTGTGTGTGTGTGTGTGTGTGTGTGTGTGTTTTGCTCCTGATTCAGACTTAGCTGACCCCCTATGTTTTTAGTCCCTCATCTCACTCCTTCCCTCTGTAACCAGCACCCAAAGCCTCAATTTCATCCTGTTGCATCAGTTACCACTCATCTCCCATCTACATTCCAACCGCCAGAATTTTGTTAAAATCCTTCACCCTTTGATGGACTCTCCTGCCTTCTTGTTATGTGTTTACATGTTCTTTTTATTTTTATTTCACCATCATTTTGGTGGAATCTTGAGAAAGAGAGGAGATAAATACAAGAAAATATTTTTTAAGATATTGATTCCAAATAAATCTGTCATCTTTAATCAGACTGTGTGCTTAATTTTAAAAGTGTTTGTGTGACAAGCTTCCTCCTCTGTAAATCTAGTCTTATGAATAGTGTAAATTTTCTGCCTAGAAGATTAAAGAAGTGATTCTCTATGTGATTATGGGAGTAAGGTTCAGACATCCTTGGGTGGTTTCAAGTTTCCTACTGAGTAATCCGGACAAGGGGAAAGTACTAAAGATACTGCATAGGGAAGTATGAGATAAACTCTCTCTTTATGACTTCAGAAGGCTGGTTACTTATTTGCTGCTGGGATAAGATAAATGGTCAAATAATTGGAGAAGTTCTACAAACCGCTTGTCAAGTTAAGTTTTATTCTGCCGCCAACTCTTGCTCCCATGCCTGTCTGAACCTCTGGTTACCTTACATTTCCAATACCTGGAGGAGAACAAGCTGCAGCATCATCTAGGCAGGTCCCTCCTGAGTCCGACTCACCCACAAACTATTTCACCCCTTGAGCGACTATGGCATTGGCTGGTTACTCACACCAGGGATTCCTCGGGATTGGTTGGAACTGCAAATAAAACACTGTTTGCCCATAATCAAGCTGATAAGCTACAGCGTAAATACACACAAGTTCCTCTTCTCTGCATACAATGGGAAGCATTTGCTCTCTGCTCTCCTCCTAGCATTTTCATGCAAGACCCGGAGAAGAAACATTGTCTCCAGCCGAAAGGGGATTCATGAAAAGCTTGAAATGGGTCTGTCGAGTTCTAAAAACCCTAAAGTCAAGCAAGCCCAAATTCTTCTTCTGGGCCTGGACTCTGCTGGGAAGTCCACCGTCCTTTATAAACTGAAGCTTGCTAAGGACATTGTGACCATGCCAACCGTGGGCTTCAACGTGGAGATGCTGGAGCTGGGGAAGAGCCTGTCCTTCACGGTCTGGGATGTTGGCGGCCAGGAGAAGATGAGGACCGTGTGGGGCTGCTACTGCGAGCGCGCCGACGGGCTGGTGTACGTGGTGGACAGCACCGACAAGCAGCGGCTGGAAGCCTCCAGGAGGGAGTTCGAGCACATTCTGAAGAACGAACACATGAAAAATGTGCCGGTTGTTCTGTTAGCCAATAAACAAGATAAGCCGGGAGCTCTGACCGCGGAGGATATCACCAGGCTGTTCAAGGTGAAGAAGCTCTGCAGTGACCGGAACTGGTATGTGCAGCCCTGCTGTGCCACCACCGGGGATGGGCTGGCCGAGGGCTTCAGGAAATTAACCGAATTCGTGAAGAGCTACATGAAATCGCGAGCAGACACGTTCGCATTCTTCAAGCAGAACTGAGGTCCAAGCAGGGGAAGACGAAATTGAAAGGGTAATTTTTTTTTTTCTCTCCATGCCGAGTGAGAAAAGAAAGTTGCTGAGATGGCAAACTTTTTTTCTGAGATGTTATTTCACCCAAATTAAGATAAACAACTCATAATAATAGCTATAAAATATTATTTTTTGGCTAGTCACTTTAGCAGACTATGGTAATAATAATTGAGAATGAAAAATTTACTATTTTGTGCATGTTGAGTGGTTCAGAATAATTATATTTAGGACCAAATAAATTATTACTTTATTCTTTTTATATGACTACTAAGTAAACTGTCTGCTAATAGAGCCAGCATTCTTTCAGATTGTTTTCAGCTGTTTCCATCACACTCCTATGTAATCGTTGGATGGTGTAAAAAAAAAAAAATCACCTTTAAGTTATAGAGAGGAAAAAGTTTGATGTTACCATTTTGTAAATCCCTATCTATTCCCTATATAAAATTTCTCTTCTGGATTCCTGCCAGCTTTTTGAAACCTATTGCTGGGAACTGTACAGTGAATCAAACAATGAACTGCTAATTTACCAGAGGCTGTGTTCCCTCAGAGGTGGCAGAAGTTTGTATCTTAAAGCTCTGGGGATCAGGATAACACCTTAGAGTTTAGGGCAAGGCCTGGGATTTAGCTCAGCTTGAGCTGCAGCCCCAAGACCGGCTTCAGTATAATTTAGCAAAACAATCATTACTTGAGAACCATGTACAGCTCACTGTACTGATCAAACAGGAACTAGAGCCAGACTTTGCTCTCAGAGACCTTGCAATTCACAGGGGTAATGACATAAAGCTAATCGCTAGAAGAGGACAATGAGCGCTATGTGATAGAACAGGAGAGACTCTTTCTGACCTGGAAAAACAGGAAGTGCTTCATGCAGGAAGTGGTTTTTAAGAGGGCACCCAACTCCTGGGGACCCCACAAAGTTACAGGTTAGTCACTGGAAGTTCCCACCAGGAGGAGACTCTCTAGAGATGCTCTGGGGGGAGGGCAGGAAGAGTGAAGGAACTAGAGATTGAATTGGAATTCCCCTGAGAGGCTCAGAACTCCTAAGGAGCCCCTGGTACCAACTCTTTCCTCCTAGCCCAACGTTAACAAGGCTCCTTTGGACTAAAAGAAGGCTTCAAACCTCCACGTCAGACCCTGGGACTCCAAATCTTAAGGTCACAGAGAGAAACAAAGGTATAATAATAAAATAAGGGTGCCAGGCCCTAGATTCCTTTCTTGATTTTCTTCTCTCATCTTGGCCATGATTTGTTTAGCAAAGATCTGAGCAGCTACTTTCGTGCTATGTGGTAGCAATTCAAATAATAAAGTAGGCATACACATAGTACTAGTTACCATTGGTTGAATACTTGGGTGTGTTCTAAACCCTTTCATACATCTCATTTGATGTTCACGACTGCCCTGAGAGGAATAGGAGTTACCCCAATATTACAGATGAGAGTACTGAGACTAAACAAGGTTAAACAACAACAACCACAACCGCACACACACACACAAAAGACTTAGTATTTTAACTAAGGAGTGGCAGACCCAAGATTCAAACTTAGCTGTGTCTAACTTCAAGACCTGTGCTGTTAATTGCCATGCTATTGTTTTATAAGTCAGGTTTGGTCTCTGTCTTCAATGACCTTACAACACACAATTAAGAATAAAACCAGGCTAAATTAAAAATAGAACTACCATATGATCCAGCAATCCCACTTTTGGGTATATGTTCAAAAAAATGAAATTGCTCTCTCGAAGAGATATCTCTCCTGTCATGTTCAGTGCAGCATTATTTACAGTAGCCAAGACATGGAAACAACCTATGTGTCTGTTGATGGATGGATAAAGAAAATGTGGTATATACACACAATGGAATTTATTCAGTCACAAAAAAGAAGGAAATCCTGCCATTTGCAATGACATGGATAAAACTGGAAGGCATTATGCTAAGTGAAATAAGCCAGACCGAGAAAGACAAGTACTGTATGATCTCCCTTACATGTAGAATCTAAAAAAAGCCAAATTCATAGTAACAGAGTAGATTGGCGGTTGTCAGGAGCTGGGGGAGGTGAGGATGGGGAGAGATTGCTCAAAGGCACAAACTTTGCATAAGATGGGTAAGTTCTGAAGATCTAATGTACAGCATGGTGATCATAGTTAATAATACTGTAGAACACACTTGAAATTTGCTAAGAGAATACATTTGAAGCATCCCCCCTCACACACAAAAAAGTTAACTATCAGGTGATGTTAATTAACTTAAGTGTACGAATCCTTTTACAACGTATATCAAATCATCAAGTTGTATACTTTAATACACTATTATATGCGAAATGTAAAATACATTTTGTCAATTATACTTCAGTAAATCTGTGGGAGGAAAAGGCTAAATCCAGGCCAACATATGGTGTTTTAATAAGAAGTTTCTTTGAAAAAACAAGCCAGACAAAATAAATTGAGTATAATAACAGAGATATAAGAAAAATGCTGAAAGATTGTGGAAAAAAGAGTTTCTGATTTTAGGAAGGCCTCAGGGTAGTAGCAATGTTAAATGCTTAATAGCAGAGTTTTCCCAAAGTTTCACAAAATGATTAAAATCTCAAGAAATGCATCTTTAAAGAATATGCATCATCCCTTAATATTTTCCCTATGTGTTTTTAAAAAATCTTAATCTTAAAATTAGGAGTCACTAATTTATGTCTATAGAAAATGTCTAAATAGGAAACATGTCCCAGTGTCCTGAGATTTTGGTAGTTTGAATTGTCAAGTCCTTTGTGGCCGTCTTAGCATAATATAAAATTCAGAGAAAACCGTCTTCCTAAAATATTGAAAGCAAATAAAACCTTCACTTCAGAAAGCTCTAGGTGTGTGTGGTGGGTGTAGTGGACAGATGCACTCTTTAGAGCAAAACTTATAAAGTAGCTCTTTTCTGTCTGTCATTTCAACATCCCTCCTCCATACAGTAGCTATACTTCAACATCTTTACTAATATTTTCTCAGAAACTTGAGCACTTTCATGCCATTTCCCCTTTCTTCCCTGAGATCAAATTTATTCTCTTCCATCAGTCAATTGCTTTGCAATGTAAATTTTACCAATCTTTCTTTGGTATTTCCCTCCTGCTTTCCTAGTCTGTTCTCCTCCAACACACACACAACACACACACACACACCCCTTCACTCTGATTTACTAATAAAGCCCCAAACCGAGGGAAGAGGAAAAGGTTAGGTAGACAATAGCAAAATATTGCTTAGCAGTTGAGAAGAAAGAGGCTGTGAATAGTCATGCCTTGATATTTATTATTGTTATACATTTTATTCTTTGTTATCTATATGTAATAAAGCAAAACTTTAAAAAATATTTTTTCTTGTGTTTTGTTTTTAGAGAGAGAGGAAGGGAGAGAAACATCAATGTGAGAGCGAAACATTGATCATCTGCCTCCTGAACGTCTCTACTGGGGATCAAGCCTGCAACCCTGACAGGGAATTGAACCTGAGACCTTTCAGTGCATGAGATGATGCTCAACCAACTGAGCCACACGGCCATGGCAAAGCAAAATTGTTAATTTATCACAATAAAATACTGACATGGATCTACAGCAACCAAAAGCAGAACACTTCTGAAATGTTCCTTGTTTAAAGATTTAAAGAGCCTGAAAGGAAATATCAGTTAAGCATTTCTAGCTAACGTTCTAAGTATTCCCAGGTGGAAAAAAGAAATCCCTCCAGGGCATAAGAATAAAGAATGGCAAATAAATAAAGCAGCAGCAGTGACTGACATGTTAAAATTAATTTGTCAGTTTAAAAAGCTGATGTTTGGACTTGATCTTTTGCTGCAAGCAGGCTGCTGTTGATGCCAGAAAACTGTGTGAAAAATGTGGGGGCTAGTGTGTGATCTGTGACTCCTATGTGCACATATGTGATGAGTGTAACTGTGGCTCCTACCAGGGGGCTGTGTGATCTGAGGAGGCCCTGGAATCTCTGATGCCCATCATTTTAAGGAGTGCTCCATCCAGGAGAAAGATAGAGATGGTTGTCCAAAGACCGTCAATTTGGGGAGCTCTAGGACAGATCTATTCTATGAACACAAAAAATATGGCTTCAAGAAGAGGTAATTGGTGGGTGGCCTCTTCCTCCCCCATCTACTACCAGCAGAAAGGTGTGGAGAGCAGAACATCACCGAATGGCCTGGCAGTACACTGGCACCTTCCCACCCTTCCCTCTCCTCTTACCCAGATAAAGTGGTAGGAATGGAAAAGGACTCTTCACAGACCACTCTGCAGACTGTATCAGAGAAGGAAATGATAGATCAGTCATGGTTTTTCTTGAATTCAAAAGCAAGACTGTCTTCCACACTGGTAAGTTCTCTCTGCACCAAGAGCTTCTAAGACAGGAAGAATATCACTTCAGTCTTCTGTTTGAAGAACTGACTATGACGTGTTCTTACAGCAGCTCTGATGGTGGTTGTCCTTGATCAAACATCTGCAGTGTGGTGGGGAGCTCTCAGAAAAACAAATGTGGGCATTTAAACTTGTAACATGTACCAGGTGGTGCTGGTCCATGTTATTTTTCTTCTAAGAAATTGGTAACCCTTTCTTTTTCTATTGTATTAATAAATGTAATTATTTTCTGGTAGTCAGCCACTGTCCCCGTAAAAAAAACAACCACACACACACACTCATGTTTTCATTATGTTCTGATGATGAACAGATTGGTTTTTGCTAAAACAAGGAAGGCTGGGAATTTCAGATGGAGAGTCCTGAAGTTCCTGTCCCTTGGAAGTGGCATGGAGAGATAATCCACAGAGGCTGCAGTGCATTGAGTGGGTGGAGGAACAGCCCAAAGACAACATCTGTAGGGCTCTTGTAGACCCTGTGGTTGGCTGCTTTTCTTTGCATGAGCTCTCTCTCCAGAGAGAGACTATGATATGGAAAGAAGACAGAGACTTCTCCTTTGGTGGCTAATGATTATTTAACATATTTTGGGATATAGGGTCACAGGGGTTTCAGTCCACCAGCTTTTTAGCATAATATTAACTATTAGTAAACTGAATTGCTTCATCCACAAGAAAGCACATTTTACCTTGAAAGTGCCACACAAATATTAAAGTTGGTTATTAGGTGACTTAACCATATGAGTAGCATTTTTCACAAATATTACCTCATTTTGTTCTTGTGAAGTCTCATAACGGATCTCATAACAAATATCAACAGTATTTTAACAATATGAGGAACTGATCGAGAAGTTACTGAATCTAGTCCTCTTATTTCCAAGATTTAAAAACATGTAACTTTTATCATACAATGGGTTTTACAATAATGCAGCACATACCACACTACCATTAAATTTGTTTGTTTCTGTAACCAAGTGGGACTGGTCAGAATATTTCTTGGACCCAAAACCTAGGAGCCATCTTCCTTTTTCCCTCATATCTCACATCTATCAGCAAATCCTGGTACCTCTCCCTTCAAAATACATTTCTCTCTGGCCACTTCTCAATCCCCACTGCTACCACCGGACCACCATCAATTCTCAGCTGGATGGCTGCATTCTCCACACAGAATTCTGCAAGAGGTCTAAAACAGGGGGCCAGTTCACTGTCTCTCAGAACATTGGAGGGCCGGACTATAGTTTAAAAAAAAACTATGAACAAATTCCTATGCACACTGCACATATCTTATTTTGAAGTAAAAAAACAAAATGGGAACAAATACAATATTTGTATTTGCATGTGGCCCGAGGGCCGTAGTTTGAGGACCCCTGGTCTAAAAGGAAAGTTAGATCACATCGCTGCCCTGCCTTAAAACCCTCTATTTACTTCTTACTCTGTCTTGTACCTGCCTCCTATATTTCCCACCTCTCTGCCTCTCCAGCCACACTTGCCTTAATGTGCCAGTATCACTTCTAATTTGTTACAGCCTCAGGGCCCTTAAACTTACTGCTTCCCCAGTTTAGAATATACTTTCCTGAGGCCTTCAAATGGTTCAGGCTTTATATCCTTCAGGGCTCCAAATATGCAGAGATGTACCTGAATCCTTCTCTGTATGAACCTCCTCCTCCCTGCCACTCAATACCTGTTTATCCTGCTTCATTATTTTTTCATAGCTTTTATCATAGCTTCAGTTTATTATTTACTCATTTACTCCTTGTTTCTTTCCCTCCCTAGCTGGTAAGCTCCTTGGGAGTGGGGACTTGGTTCCCTGTTGAATCCTAGAATAGTACTGAGGATGTTAAAGGTATTAAAGGATATTTGTAGAACAAGTGAATGAATGGTCTGGATGTTAAAGGTATTAAAGGATATTTGTAGAACAAGTGAATGAATGGTCTGGATCTACTGCATTTGGTTATATCACTTTTAATTTAGAATATTTAAAATGAGGTATTCTCAGGATCCCAGGCTGCCTCTCAGGATAGAGTATTGATCCAATCATGGAGAGTAAAAGGAATGTCAGATTTGGGTTGACAGCCTCATTCTAACCTCAGGAGCATGTACTGGGCTGAGAAGAACATGGGCTTTGGAGACAGAAGTAGATGGGAATTCGGGTTGCCTCTGGTTTTGGCTTTTACTTCACCTCTGAGAGTCTGTTTTCTCTACTAGAACAAGAAATAAGTTTTTATTGTGTTAAGCCATGGAAATTTGGAGGCTGTTCCAGTCATCACTGTTAATTACCCTAATAAATTAGGACCATGGGCCTTGCTCCTCCCATGTGTCTGGAAACCCTCCTTTTCCTAGTCTTTTTTCCCTCACAAATCCCCTCTTCCCTAAACCCATTCTAGGATCTTCATTGGACTCCTCCAAGAACAGGAAGGAAAAAAACAATTTTTCCTCGACTTTGTATTTTGAAAATTTACAAACCTTCAGAAAATTTGAAAAAATAGTAAAATTAACACTGATGTGCTTTTCACTTATAACCAATTATAACAATATTGTCATATTTGAGCACACTCACCTCTCTCTCTACACACACACACACACACACACACACGCAATAATCCTGACACTTCACACCTAAACACTTCATCATCCATCTCCTTAGAATGGATCTTCTCTTACATAATCACAGTATCATTCTTACACATAAAATTTTAAGCATTAAGTATCATCTCATAGTTTATAGTCAAATCCCCCCAAGTAGAATAATTTATTTAAATTTATTTGATCCAAGATCTGTTGCATTTGGTTATATCACTGTTAATTTAAAATATTTTCTCTGCCTTTCCTGTTTTTTTTTTCACAACCTAGAAATTTTGAAGAGCCCAGGCCAGATAATTTAAAGACTATCCAGCAGTCTGGATTTGTCTGATTGTTTCTTCATGATTAAATTCAGGTTAAACATTTTTGACCAGAATATTGCCCAGGTGATGGTATACATCCCACATTTAGGAGTCTCTTAGTGTCCATTTGTCCCCTTATTGATGATGTTAAATTTGATCACTTCCTTTATGATAGGGTTGACTAGATTGCCCCAAGGTAAAAACATAAACATAAAGCCACTGTTAAACATTGTTGAGCTTAGTTAAAAACACACACACACACACACACACACACACACAGCCCAGGTGATGGTATACATCCCACTGCATCCATTTAGGAGTCTCTTAGTGTCCGTTTGTCCCCTTATTGATGATGTGAAATTTGATCACTTCCTTTATGATAGGGTTGACTAGATTGCCCCAAGGTAAAAACATAAACATAAAGCCACTGTTAAACATTGTTGAGCTTAGTTAAAAACACACACACACACACACACACACACACACAAAACAGGTCATGAATTATAACACATTGAATAAATAAAAACAAAAACTGGCTCTGGCTGGTGTGGCTCAGTTGGTTGAGGATAGTCCCATGTACCGAGAGGTCACAGGTTCGATTCCCAGGAGGGGGCTTGTAGGAGGCAAGTGATCAGTGTTTTTCTGTCATCGATGCCTCTCTCTCTCTCTCTCTCTCTCTCTTGCTCTCTCTCAAATAAATAAAAACATATATTAAAAAGAAGCAAATTAAAAAACAAAAATTGTAAGTTCATTTAATAAATATCACTAACAATATAAGAATACAAAAAGAAAAGGTATAGGGTAGGGGAAAGGAAAACTCTTTTATACAGAAAAATGTGGAGGGCATGATAAATTGGAAAGCCACTATTTTGCAACTGCAATATAATAGCTAACCTTGGGTAAACACATCTTATTTGTATAATAAGATCACAAAATGATTTCCCAAAATATCTTTTCGCTCTTCTGTGACCTAGGATTAACAAACCTTTGAAATGAAAAGCCTTGATCAGATAAAGGAAAAGCTAGGGGATCCTTCCTTTTGTATATTTTTTCCTTTCTCCCAAAGCTGAAAAAGTCACCATTTACAAGTCCAAGATGAGCAAATTTCCAGTTTTCTAACCTTGGGTTCTTTTAATCTTTTGTCATGAGGCTACAAGGTATATTGGAACTACCTGCTAAAGGAGGCTTCATCATAAACAAAATTGAAGACAAATGTCAAATTGTGAGTTAATATTTATAATATATACCATAGATAAAAATTGAATGTCCCTAATATACACCTTATATTGTTTTATATTGCTAAAGCACTAGAGAAAAAGATCCTATTTAGTCTGTTGAGCTAGATAGTGTCCGATTTCCAGCCTAAAGCACGTATTTTCAGAGCAAAACCTCCCACTATTTCCTTGATTTCTTTCTAAGAGACCAGGCTAGAGGGTAGAAGTCCATAATAATGTTGCTCCAACTTGGAGTAGGGTCACCACAGGTCACACACCCATTTCATCCTGCTATGTCTGATCAGTCCATGTACACCTGTTGGCCTGGTATAAATGTTAATAGTACTCCCTTTCACTCTCCAAAGTGTCTTAAGTTTGGACTACAAATAGTTTCTCTACTTCTAGGAGACCCCTGATGCTTTTTAGGGAAGACTTCGTTTGGTGGATGTTGAAGGGTAAATGCCAAACTGGAGAGAGGAGCAAAAAGACTGGAATGTGATAGGCAGAATAATGATCCCCCTAAGATGTCCTTGTTTTAATCCCTGGTTGTTACCTCCCATAGCTAAAGGAAAGGTGATTAAGTAGGTTGAAGTAGGAAGATTAGCCTGGATTATCCAGTTGAGCCCAATCTAATTACATGGATCCTTAAAATTGGAGAAATTTTCCTGGCAAAGTTATTAGTTAGAGCAGTGGTTCTCAACCTTCTGGCCCTTTAAATACAGTTCCTCATGTTGTGACCCAACCATAAAATTATTTTCGTTGCTACTTCATAACTGTAATGTTGCTACTGTTATGAATCGTAATGTAAATATCTGATATGCAGGATGGTCTTAGGCGACCCCTGTGAAAGGGTCATTCGACCGCCAAAGGGGTCGCGACCCACAGGTTGAGAACCGCTGAGTTAGAGGAAGAAGGGACTATAAAAGAATGCTCAGAGAGATGCAACATTTCGGACTTTGAAGATGGAATAAAGGGATCATAAGGAATGTGGGCAGCCTCTAGTGGCTCAAAAAAGCAAGGAAACAGATTCTCCCCTAGAGCCTACAGAAAGGGATCCAGCTCTGCCAACATCGACAGAACTGTCAATTTGTATTGTTTGAAGCCATTAATTGTGTGGTAATTTATAGCAGTAATAGGAAACGAATACATGGAATTGACAGCATTTCTAATGAACCTTGAAGGATTCAATAAGTCATCCATTCATTTAACAAATATTTCAGTCCTAATACATCCCTGAGCCAATGGTAAATAAGATGAACTTCTCAGGGATGACATGAACTATTTAACAAGCACAGGGTAGTAAACCAGGATATGAAAACATGGAAGAAGGATATCCCAGGTGGAAGGGATGGCATGGGTGAAGGTTCAGGCAGGGGTTTGCAAGTATATACATTAAGGCTGTAAATAGCCAGCAGTACAGTGTGGCTGGACCGTAAAATGAATGGGAGAGAAGAAACAGAAGTGCAGTTTGGAAGCAAGTGTTAAAGGGCCTAGAATGCCAAACTAAGGGTTTGGACTTTATCCTTCAAGCAATGGGAAGATACTGAGAGTTGTAAAGCAGGGAAGGGGACATAACCACATCTGTGTTTTAAAGAGATACCTCTGCTATACCGCTGGGAAAGAAACCAAATTTGGTTTTGCTCACTATGTACGTACTTATCAATCAGAAGAGGCTAGCTTATGCTGTGGTAACCAACAATCCCAAAAGTCTATGCCTTAAGACAAAAGAAGTTTCTCTTTCCCATGCTACATGTCCATCCTGGGTCAACATGGGGGATCTGCTCATCTTTTTTTTTCTCTGAATATAATAGTTTAATGTATATATTTGAAAGTGCTGGATAGCATAACAATTTTAAGGCTAAAGAGAAAGAACATAGCAAGAAGCTATTTAAGCTATTTTTGTGACCATCTAGCTCAATATGTTAGTTGGATCTTTGAGAGTTTTCATGTGAACGCACAGAAGTTCATATTCTACATATGCCTGTGTTTGAACAAAAGATAACCAATTTCCCCTTAAGCCAGAACATGGAGTTGAGTTTATTAACTGAACCAAGTGCCATGGGAATGGGAGAGTTTAGGCCAGAGAGCAGTGACTAGTGCCAGAGGTCAAGAACATATTACTGTACTCGCTTTCTTGGCTTCAAAGAGTACTACGAAGGCATTGGAAGTGCCAGGGCCTATATGACAGCCAAGAGAAGCTGGTAGAAGAGAGGGGTGCTAAGATTGTTCTTGGACGTGAAGAGGGAAAGGGATGGCACATTCTCCAAATGACCTCTATTTTCACACTGGTGAAGCTGACTCTGTACTCAGCACTCATCAGCAAACTGTGGTCTCAGAGTTTTTATTTTCTCATAGGGACTGGGATTGTTCTGTGTCTAAAAACTGTTTTTCTCTTCTCCCCTCCTCCCCCCATTACTTTTAAGCAACTGGGAGCTGAGAGCCTAAAGAAGAAGGCTCTCCTCATGGGCAACTGTGAGACTTTATACATGGCGCTGGGCCAGGCCCTGGGGATGAAGAGCAGCATCCTGGCCCCAGGAGCTAGTCCCCTTGGCATCCACGGCATTGTCACAAGGGCCACTGCCTGCACAAGCATCCAGGAGGCTGTGTCTATTGAACACCTTCATGAGAAGTGGATAGCAAAAAGAGAAAGCCGGAGAAAGAGAGTGACATAAGGGACTTCTGCCAAAGACACATGTCACACAAATCTGGGTACTTTCAGAAAATACAGACATTTAATAGGAATTGTACTATTTTTTTCCCTACATGGATCAAGACAGATTTCCCATTTCCTGTTCATTTGGGTAAATGCTTGGACGGTTTCTTTTAAATGTGAATGCCATGTCAGGGTTAGGTGCAGAGTCAAATTAAATCGTTTATTTGAAAAATTGACATCATGTCAACATTAGCCATGAATATGTATATTGTTTAAAAACATTTAACAGTTTAGCTGACCTATAACTTCAGGTGGCTCCCGATGAAGGAGATAAATAACCAATTATATGGGAAGTTAAGGAACTTAGGGGAAGAGGCAAGAAAATGTAAGAGAATGGAAATCAAGGTAACCCAGTGGACACTTCATGTCACCACTGAGGGTCATTATTAGAAATAGGATGCCTCTGCTCATCTTAATCAGGGATGCAGAATGTAAGAGAATGGAAATCAAGGTAAACCCAGAGTGGACACTTCATGTCACCACTGAGGGTCATTATTGGAAATAGGATGCCTCTGCTCATCTTAATCAGGGATGCAGGCTGAGGAAGCTATCACCATTTTGTGTTAAAATAAAACCAGGTTAGTCATTAATTTAGCTTAATTATTCATCACTGTGGAGACACTTTTTCACTATGTAAACGGCTTACCCCTGAGCCTCGTTCCCTGTTTTGGTCTGAGTGCTCCAAGGTTGCAAACTGTCTTTTTAGTGTGTGCACAATACATTTTTACCAATAATTCATTGGCTTTACTTTGGCTCTTTCTGAACCTTTGGCATTGGAAAGTTGCCTGTTGCTGGGCCAGAGGGAAAAAAGCTCTAGAGCGCCTCAAAGTGGCAATTAATTACAAGCTGTGTCTGAAAGTAACCGGTCCCATCCACTTTCATCTCATTGATCCCGGGCCAGGAAGTATAGTCCCACTAAGTGCGCAGAAGGAGTAAAATTGGCAACGTTTGGTGATGCTTAATGACTAAGCATCAGTAAACATTCATTGGACAAATGAATCAATTGGAAAGAGTAGGTTAGAGGTCATTTGATGAAGTCTTATCTAGTGGAAATAGAGAACAGGAAGGAAAAGGAGACGGGAGTCGGTGACTAATCAGATGTGGAGGGCGTTGAAAGAGCAGTTTGATTTTCAGTCTGGAGGAGTGCAGGAAGGGTGATGCCAGTGACACACACACACACACCGAGAAAGGCCGGCATCTGGATGTGTGCCTACGTGTGTGGTTAGTAGAGTGCAGCTGAGACACCTACATTTTCTCACCCTTTGCTGGGTAAATCTGCAATCTCGGCTTCAGGCCTTTTGCTCTGTTTACAAACTGTTTTTCTTTTGTGCTGAGGCGCGGGGACCCGTTTGGAAATCAGAATTGGTCGCTGTTCTGGGGGGACGGCCAGACCCGCCGCAGGAACTAGGATGTGAGGCGCTGGACGCGGATCACCTCCCAGCATTTCCTAACATACGGTTACGTCCCTTTCACGGCGGAGAGAATCAGTAGTGTCTGGAATGCAGCTCTGCCGGGTCATCTGGGCCACACCACTGCTGAACCTCAGCTCCTTCCGTTGTAAAAGCCGAACACCACCGACACCGAGTTTGTGAGGATTCGGGGGGAAGGGCCAAGGGTCCGAAGACCTACCGGTAGCGCGCACACCCGCCACCCCACCCCCCCGCCCCGCACCTGCCGGGGCCTGAGAACCAAAGGAGGGGACTGGGGGTGCGGACGGGAATGGGGATGGGAGTGGAGTTGGGGCTGGGGCTGGGACTGAGCCCCGCCCCTTTGCCGCGCAGAGAGATGACGTCACGCCAGCCCCTCTCCACTCACCTGGAGGGCCGGCAGCCGGAATAAAACAAAAAAAAACAAACAAACAAAAAACAAAACTGGACTCTGTTGGCGGC